CTGAACAGGGGGTTTCTTTTATATTCTATAGAGAAGCTCATGTGATTGAAAGGAAAGGACTGAATTTCTGTTTTTCTATGCTTAAATTTAAAATTTACCTGAGTTTTCAGAAGCCATTTTTATTATCCCCTGGTGCCATGAATAGGGCAAATCTGTCACTCTTTCATTTCTGATAGTATTTGTCAAGGCCTTTCAGTAGTCAAAACCTTCCCAAATAGCTGGTGTGGCTATCCTCAGCTGAAAGGAGTGTGCAGAGATGAAGATCCAAGAACCTATCAGAACAAAATCAAAGAGGAAATTTCGTACTAAAATACACTGATCTGTACAAAAAGACACAATCACTACCCATTTTTTTGGTTGAACCTGTTTACCTGAACCTGTTTCCTCTCCTTTGGGCCCATTTTCAGTTTCATTGATTTCTAAATACACAGCCCCAAAGGCATACTTCTTACTAGTAGTTGGCAGGCATGCAACTAAAACAGCTTTACTCACTGAGAAATTGTTGCTTTAAAGAAAACTGCTTTTGACGTGTAACCACATCCAGTAACCTCAACCCAAAACCACTTGAACATGGTGTTGTACCTATAATCCTCTGTGCATCCTTCACCTCTGAGCCATCTTTTCAAAAATTTGTTTTGTGAGTGTTTCGCCCATGTGCAGTACAGGGCCATGCTCGTCAGGGATGGGGCTGGGATCAAGGTGATGCCCAGCGCAGCAGCAGTACTCTTCCTATGTATGTATTCACCTGAGGCTCCCTCGTGGACTAGATATCTCAAAACTTGTTTTGCTTCTGAGTTCTGCAAAATCAACAAGACATCCCTGCAAACCCGGAACGTCCTCGGGCTTTCAGGATTTACAGTTCCAGGTGCAGTGAGACATTACTTGTGCGTTTCGGCTGGAAAGTACACGTTTTGTCCTAAAGTCAAAACAGAGTTTTGCATTAGCGTCATTTGCACTGAGTATGTATGCTGCTCAGAAGAAAAGCTTGTTAAAAGGAAGATGTGGAGGTGCTTTCAGGGTACTCATGTCAATTTTATAATCTTAAATTTTATAACTGTTGGCTTATTTAGTAATAAAAGTTAACAGCTCAAGAATTAGAATTTTAGAAATTCAGCTATGCCTAAATATGATGCTCAAGGAGTTCAGAACCTGATACAGGCAGATTTTTGAACAGCTTGAAAAGCTATTAATTATCTGTGTGGCTGTCTCTCCTCCCTCTGTCCTCCTCTTGTCCCTGGAGAGTCTTTATTATTCTGTGAGGGACTTTTGAAGAAAGGTCAGGGTCTAGACTGATGACTACCTGTCATGCACATGTAAGCACGTGGGTTGGTAACTGAGCTTCAGAGGGGACGCCATTCACTTTCAGTGACTTGGAAAAGAAAGCGTGTTGTGGGATCAACTCTTGTCTCTGCTACGCTCTTCAGTAAAACTGTCTAATGTCCTTTGTGTTTTTTTTAACAAATCTGACAGTAAAGTGATGGCAATTGTAGTATAACTTCTTATGTAAGGGCATAAGCAATTAGATTTAACAGGAAATAGGTATCAGCATGCAATATGGAAAAGAGGAAAATAGTCTTTATTGAAATTAGAGATGAGATCTGTGGTTGAGGTGCTAGGACTTGGTGTTTACCTGTAGGAAAGAAAGCCATTGTGGTTGCAGGTGCCTTTCAAAGGGAACAGTGAGGAGGTTCAAAGGTGAGATCCTGGGAGTATGTGAAAGGTGTACTCTAAATTATTGGTTACAGTGTGAGAGCCCTGTAACCCTGAGGTAGAATTAAATGTTTGGACTTCGAGAAAGGTGGTAGAAGGGATAGAACCTAGCTACATGTGCATATAGTTTCAATGTATTATTTGTAGCTAAACTGCATTTTCCTTTCCTTCTAGGATGTTCATATTAAAAAAAGTACAGAAAGGTCTTTGTGTTCATTCAATATTACAACAGGACAGAGGGGGAGCTGCGTCCTCCTTAAGCCAAATTCACCAAAGGCGCTTTAAATTGCTGCGGTGAGGTGTTTATTAGACAACAAACTAATACTCAGCTTTTTAGTAGAAGAAACTCCGAGTGAACAAACACATTAAAGTCGTTTCACTTCAGGCATCCTCTTATTTCATCAACTTTTAGCATTTTCCTTGGTTGCTACAAACTTTGCACAGGAAAAGTTGATTTCTGTCATCCTTGAAGCTGGATGTTCCCTTCTGCTTTGCTGCCATCCTTCTGCTTGCTGTGTCTCACATTTCCCTGCCTTCTCGACCCTGCATTCTGGAACGCGTCTTTTGGGAAACTGCTTTCCATTTTTCTGCATCCTTTAGGGGACTCTGTAATAGTGCAGCCTGGATCAAATGAAGTACGGACCTTCTCCTCTGCTGTTCAGACAGTCTTTTAAACTAAATTAACGGTAGACAGATGTGAAGAAATGAGAAGAGATAGACGTAGCTATGTATATTTTCTTATATAAGTGTGGTATATGTATACGTATGCTCACAGTGATGTTTTGTTTTATCTTAATGAGAAAAAAGTTTCTCTCTATTCTAAAGTGTGCAATGTCTTCCTATAGCTTTCCTTTTAAAAGTCCAAGACATACTCAGTAGGATGGCTACTAGGTTAACATAAGGAGCTTACTGTAAATGTAAAAAAATGATTTATTTGGTAACCAAAAAAAAAAAAGATATTTACTCATCTGAAGCATCTAACAAAAAATATATGCATAGACACTCAGCACATACTGTTTCATCAGAAGAATATTGATGCTAGTGGCTTCATATTTTTTAAAAAGTGAATTTATGGGTTTTGTGCTATACTCTTACTGTATGATGCAAGTTTTTAAAAATCTGCATAAGTGAAATAATGAAGCTGAAATAAAATATTTGTTCTTAGTAATAGAAAATAAAGCAACAAATATTTCTTTTGTTAATACCTTCATCTAGTTGGATACTCAACTGAATAACTGAATAGCAACTAAAAATAATGCAAATTTGGTTTTCTTGATTTAATACAAGTCTTAATATAACTTTCTGGGAAAACAGGAAATATTTCCTGCAATATAACTTCAGGAAAGCACAGAAGTGTTTGTAGTGGAAACGCATGCTTAAAGGAAAAAAGTTCACAAAATGTTATCCTTTTGTATATTTAGTCTACTTACAAAACATTTATGAAATAATTTGTGTTTCATAGCTACTAAATTTTGTTAGACAAACAGTTATAAAACAAAAGGAATTATAGAAATAGATCTATCACAATAATAAAGGTGACATCCTTATTCACCTGCTAACTGACACAGAATGGTATCTTACCATGAAATTCTAGTCTTATGTGGGAAATGGCCAAGATATTACGTTTAAGTTAAAAACTATTAATAGATTGCAATATGTCTTCGTTTTTTAGTTTAAAAAAATACGTAAAAAATGGAATATAAACTGAAGATGTGACTTAGTTCAGATTCAGTGCAGTCAGTGATGGGTATAGTATGCGTCTGCAGGATGCAATATCTTAAATTTGGTGATATTTTGATGGTTTTATATAGTTATGTGAATGATAAACAGAATGGACTTTTACTTTAATCTGCAGATAAACAGAATGGTAATATTTGAATTTCAGTGGCCATCATTCTGGCTTTTTCTTCTGTTTTCCCTTCTCCAAAGAGAAGGTCCTGCACTCTTCCAGAGATGATCCTTTTTCTTTCTTTTCATACATATCTATAGATACATATGCATACCTACCTCATGTTTTTCTCTCAAAATAAGTGGTAGTGATAATAATAAAACTATTAATGAATAGTCTGCCAGTGTTACTGAGAAACTGCTTGGATTGTATTGGGTATGTACTCATATCACCTATTCAACTGCTATCTGTGTATTTTTTTGGTAGGTGACAGATCAGTCAGTGAAAGCATTTGCTGAACATTGTCCTGAGCTGCAGTATGTTGGTTTTATGGGCTGCTCTGTTACATCTAAAGGAGTCATTCACCTCACCAATGTAAGTACTATAGCTACTTTTAGCTTGTTGTTAGTGTTTGTGACAATTCCCAAAATATAGATATCACCAAGGCTAAATTTATACATTTAACGAATAACCCTGTCATGGGTAGAGCCATTACAAGACAAATGAAATTTGCATCATTTCAACAGAATGCATTCAGATTTTTCTGCTTTAACTTTATATCATAAACATGTTCAATGGTTGGGATTTTTTTCTTAGAAATAATAACACTGTACATGTCAATCATCTTTAAAATGCCTAATTACACGAGATTGAGTTGCAAATGTTCTATAATTTGCTGTTCCCAATTAATTGGAAATGCAAACTATGAGTGCAAGAGACTTGGACGCCTTACTGCAGTAGGATATCCCATATGTACTTAGATTTTGTATATATACGTCTCTGTATTCTAGGTGTATCTATGGACACATTTTATTTCCTTTTCCTTTTCTTTACCTAAGAGGAGTGATTTGTGGGAGAGCTCCCTTTTGTGACTACAGAAATTGATTTTATTGAATGCTTTAATGACCTGGATAAGGTACGCAAACAACATATTAATTTAAAATTCAGAGCTGAAACAAAATTGAGAGATCATGCAAACATCAGGGAGGTCAGAGGAAATGCATCTGTAATAGATAAATTAGTATTTTTAGCTAGGAAGATTAAAAAAAAAACTGTAGGGAAGTGGAACCTATCATAATGGGTAAAGATGGCTATGAAAATGGGTATTGAATGTGAAGGAGTGCTAGTGTAAACAAGAAGTGGTCAAAGAGACCTTGAAATAAGTGGAGACCATATTGAATGAAAATGTTAATATGACTGAAGAAAATTCAAATGTAGTTTCTGGTGCAGGTGTGCAGCACTCTTGTCACGATAATGGATCCAGCATACCTCTAATATACACTGATCAGTTTAAAGCAGCTCAGTAGCTGAAAATATAGATGAAATTAAAAATTCCAGAAAATGTACAAAAAGAAATAAGCTGAAGAAATTAATTTGCATGGTAAAGTTATAGTAACTCAAAGGATGTAGTTTGGGAAGGACTCAAAGGATATGGAAATGACATGAAGGTATTTAAAAGGCACATGTATCTATGGGAGGGAGAAGTAATACAATAATTTTCATGTTCTAAATAATTCAGGATGGGTTGTACTTATATGCACAACATAAATATAGGAGAGAAATAAGTCTGACAGCAATTATGTAACCTGAAGTTGCTTGGGAAATTCTAGCACAGATCATTGTTCATACTTTGGTACTGGATTACCAAAGCATACTTTGGTTACTGGATTATTCTGACCTAGAGTTACTGAGTGTTTAATAGGTGATCATTATGTCTAATCCTTCTATGAAGTGACTTTGTAATATCATGTAATTGATTGAAGTTACAAAAAATCAAGAGCTTTATTTTCTTATTAATATTTAGTTCTGGTTTTGATGTGGTTTAGTAATAAATGGCTAGAAATCATGAATTATATAGGACTGGCATAGATGTAGATTGCCCTTCAGAACATATGTGGGAGGCTATTTTGTCCCAAAACTGGAAAAAGTCATGTGGGATAGGTAAGTGTTGCATGTGCTTTTTCCTGGGACATGAGACTTAGGAATTCCTGTTTCCTTCTCTCAGGCTATGGCAATATAAAAGAGAGTGATATAATAGCACTGAACATCACTTTTTTTTTAAATTTGTTCTCGAATATGTTTAGGGAATTTACGATTGAATCCTGAACAAGTGAACTCTTTTCTTGTAGCATTTACTATGAAGGTGCTAATTATTTCATACACTTTTATTATCAAGTACTTTTTTCTTTAGTTATCCCACTTCTCATGGTGCTTTCTTACGCTGTCCCAAAGTTTTCTTTTTCTGATGTATGTTGGGATTTTTTAGGTTGGTCAAATAATGGCCAGGTGTATTGGCGAAGCACTTGAAACAGTATTTTCCTTAAGTGGAATATTGTTGGTGAAAAGTGTGGCATTGCCTACTGAAAATTTTATTTTGAACTGAAAGCAGCAATTTTGAAATTTCTGATGTTTCTGAGTAAATATATTTTACAGGTTAAAGAGAGTTTTTCCTGGCTTGCTCCTGCAGGTGTAATATAAATTAGAATTTTTTACAGGGTTGAAGCATGTTCAAGGAAGACTCTGAATATTTCTTAATATTTTTTTTTAATTATACTTTTCATGGAGAATACATCATGCTTTCTCTGATCTGACTTCTAAAAGGTTTGCTAAATATTATGATGATGATATATTTCTTTATTTTTATTGCCTCTTTCAACAGAGGCCTTTATTAAGTACATGTGCAATATAGGGAAGTATACTGATGTCATATGTTGAGGGATAAAGGCCAGGTAAGAGATTTTCCCAGTCGTACAGCAGGAGAGCAGCAAAGTCAGTGCTGGAATTCTGGTTGTTTTATTCTAAGGCTATTGGCAAGTGATTCCTGGTTAATCTTGCTGCAGTGACTTTAGTGGTTGTTGTACTGCTCCTCTGCCAGGTGTTACTCCCCTTGTAGTAGAGCAGACAATTCCACTAAAACTCTGAAGTGCACTGAAGTGTCTGGCCCAGAGTCACATTCCATTTCTACAGTTGTTCTTTAGAGTTCCTAACTTCCAACAGAGGACAACAGCAAGTATCTGGAGGGTAGTAACTTTCTTAAATTAGCTGCATCAGTCTTTCCCAGAATTCGTCTGTTAATAACACTGTTTCTTTAATGACATCAGGTTTTTTTAAACATCATTCATTTTTTTTCTAATGGTTTATTCTATGGTCAGTTCTTAACTGGTACTTCATGAATGCATAATATTAATCTCAGTTCTGTATTCTTAACATATCTGGAATCTGTTCTCACCTCTGCATGGCCTGTCAGGGTGTCCTGTGTCCTGTCCCAACTTAGTTCCCTTCTGTCCCTCTGCTTCCTCCGTGTAAGCTAGAGATGACAACACTGGCCTGCTCCGTTGTAAAAATGCTTTGAGGCTAACAGATGTATAAAAATTGAATCTTTTGTTATTACTGTATTTTCCCTCCAATAATTTTTAGCTCTTTAAAAATACCAGCACTTGAAAATTCTGACTTGTAGTGCTGTTTGAATTAAATATCTTTTTAAATAGGTAATTATGAGGTACTTATGGGTTATAACAGTGAAAATGTTGTATGTAGGAGAAAAGAAGAAACACCCCAGTGTTTACTGTCATTGTTTTTGCTTCTAAACATTGTGATATCACGCACGCGCGCGCACACACGCGCGCACATGCACACGCACACACTCACTCACTCGAGCAAAAATGTTATCTCTAGTTTCTTTTTTCCTTTGAAGCTGTTATAAACTGTAAGAAATGCACCCAGAGTAAATAGTAGTTACTGGGTAAGCTGAGAAGTGCTGCATATATATATATATATAAATATGTATGTATGTATATATATACACACACACACACGTACGTATATACAGAGAAGGAGAAAGTCTGTAAGCTCAAAGATCATAAAACCATTGTGGTTTATGTTGTTCAGGTAATTGCACTGAAGATGGGATGCGCAGACAGGTGATTTTTCCTCATGATTTTTGATCCTGTATCTTTGCCTTGCCCCAAAAGTAGGCTGTATTTTCTTTCCCTCTTGTGGTAAATGCCTTTCAGTAGTTTAATTGTTGCATTTCTAATAGAATTTTAAGAGCCAACATCAGTGAATCTCAACATCTAGACGTGATTTTGTTTCCAAGCTACTGCTTTGGCTTCTTCCTTTGAGTTCTGATATATGTGCTAGAGTAATGCTTTGTAGCCATAGCCTTCTATCTGTACTTCTATATATTTTTTACAGACTATGTCTGGGTAACATTTATTATGTACATTTTCATTAAAACAAGCACAAAGCCTAATTGGACAACAGCTTGATAGAAAAAGGTTCTAACTTGTTTTTCTAATCCCAATACAAGAAGTCAGTTTATCTAAGAAAACTGATTTGGGAATAATGTTATCTTTATTCTTTCTTGATCTCATATTGTTGCTGTCCGAGGGCCGTGTCCAATCTACTCAGTCGTATGTGCGTTTGAGTTGGTGACCAGTGGGAAGTCAATCAAAATTTAGATTTATAGTGCAAATATTTGTGACTCATTCAGTGCAGAGATTATTGACTTGACAGATTTATAGTGGTAATCTAAACATAGCCAGAGTGATCCTGCAAGTGCCTTTTCTAAACTGAGGTACTGTGTGCTACCTTTTCTTTAGTTAGTGATTTATTTTGACACAAAATACTCTGCCTTAAGGCTCTTTATGTAGTAACGTTTCAGCATATCTTCCAATCTTAAGATCATTCTACTTCCTAAACAAGAACATGGTTATCCCTCTTGGGCTAGGTCAAGAGAAAACAGGTTTTTGGTTTTTTGGGTTTTTTTGTCAATTCATCTAACAACCTATATTTCTAAAGATGGCTAATGTTTTATTTGAACGTATTTGCGTTAGCTGTCCTTTTAGACCTTAGTCTGTTTTTCCCCATCATGGGAAAAAGTCATTAGATAAGGTTTTTTGAGCATAGTGATTCCAGGAGATTGTGTATGAGGATTGGCTTGACACTTAAAAAGGTATGGTGCTACAGACTGTGTAAGAGAACTTTTTTCATCTTGTTAAACTAAACCCTACCATTTTGTTAAGTGGAGCTGACTATGTCTCTCTTGAGATGTTCTTTTTACCTTTTTAAGGTTTTGATAGTTGTACCCAATTGCAGTTTCTGCAAGTTGCACATTAAGTAGAAAAGCTATTACAGGGAAGCTTGATTGCATGACTGAAAAGGTTTCAATGTGTGTTTGGCTGGTGGGTGTGTGAAAGTTTCCAGAACAAAAACGGTTCATTAGATATACTTGAAGGTAAATAATATAAAAAGAATAAAGCATGATTTTAGCAATAACCCAATTCATCAGCAGTTTTTATTTTCAGCTTATAAACTGCAAATCTTTTAACTCAGATAGTATATTGCACATAGTGTGTGTATATGTGCAAATAATT